CGCCCATATTGAGTATGTCTTTTTCATTTAAGTATGGGGTTATAAATTGTCTTCTTGTTACATTACAACAGTATCGAACACATGCATTTTGTACTCTCTGTATTGCTCTTTCGGTATTAGCTGACAATTTAGGGCCAAAGACTGAGCTGCAGTAGCTCAATTGTGATAACACCAATGAGTCACACAAGAGAAAGCGTAGGTCCTCTTTAATATACGGTCTTATTTTGTATAAAGTTTTAAGTTTAAAGTACGAATTTCTTATCTTGTTATTGATGTGTTCTACAAATTTCTGGTCTGCGTCTAGTATAAGCCCTAAATTACGAGCGGATCTTACTTGTGTCAAGGTTTCATCTTCTATTTTAATCGTTTCCTCGCTGTCTAAAATAGTTTTTATTTGGTTTTATTATATAAATGAAACATTTTATATACAATCCCTCACTGAAACCTCGTGATTTAAGTTTTAAGCATACTAGGGTAATGATTTCTTATATTTGCGCGAACACTACACATTTAATAAAACTATTGTATATATATATATATATATATATATATATATATATATATATATATATATATATATATATATATATATATATATATATTTACTATACAATACCGAAAAGTCGCATTTCATGGTATTTAAGGCTGGCAGTAAATGTCCTAGTGTGGTACCACCTATAAAGCTATAAAGCTTTATAATAACCGCTAGAAAGGGTCTATAGTTTTAAATATCTTGGACATACGATGAAGACATTGAAAGAGAACGTAGGGCACTGTCGGTCAGGGCGAATATGTTGGTGCATAGATTTGGTCGCTGCACTGACGCTGTCAAGATCACGCTTTTCAAAACATATTGTGCGTCATTTTATTCTTGCAGTCTATGGACCAACTACACCAAAAAGACTTATAGTGCCCTACGTACTCAATACAACTAGGCATTCAGGGCGCTGTTGTGGCTGCCGCGCTACTGTAGCGCGTCTGCGATGTTTGCACTGGCGGGTGTGGATAGTGTTGATGCAATAATACGAAAAAAGACCGCATCTTTGCTAAACAGAGTGCGCGGCAGCGACCACAGTGTACTGAGTGAGATTGCCAACACTGGGGACTGTCCACTGATCGAAAAAATGATCTCCAGGACCATGTCCTGCTTAATAATTAAATATTAAAATAAAAAATAAAAATGTATAAATTATATTACTAACATAGATGTAAGTTTTTCTCTACTAACAAGTTCAAGTTGTCCGAAATAAACAATTTTTATTTTATTTTATATTTATTTATATATATATTAAGCAACAGTAGCCTAATGGCAGGGCGCCGACCGCGAACTCAAAAAGGTCGTGGGATCGAATCCGCCATTCGACTACTGGCGTGAACCACTCGTAACACAAGCAATTTAAGTTTACCACGAGTGGTTAAGGGGAATATTAGTAATGTTTATAGCATTGTTAATATTCTTTAAAAAAATGATGATTTTTTTATAGAATAAGGGTGACAACAGACCACCTGATGGTAAGTGGATGCTGTGGCCCACAGACATCTACATTAGGGTGGAGTGAGAATGTAAGAAATTTTTTTTTTGTTTTTTTTTTGATTGCATAGCGATAAAAATTTGCCTTTCATTGAGTAAATCCTACATACAAAATATTATTTACTTATCATGATGTCTTGAGGTGCCCCAACACAATTGAAAATTTGAAAAAAGCGATGAATGTCGTAGCACACCAGGCGGGAACAAAGTTCCTTACGCTACTCTATATATACCTATGTGTTAGTGTAGTAGACACCATCAACAGAGTAACAGCTTAGGAATCGGTTAAATAAAGTCTGGTTAAATATAAAAAATACATATATTAAAAAAATAAGGTAAAACTAAGTAATTATGATAGATTTGGATATCGTTCAGAAACACAGTAATTAAATATTAAATTGTTTTTTTGTATCAAAATTTGGCATTTGCTGACGTGATAATAATCGTGCCCTTATGAAACCGTCTCGTTTATTTTCTCCACAAACTGCACTTGAAGCTTCAGTCACCAATTTTATGCAGCGCTCTACGGCTTGGGTGTGGCATGGGAAATCTTTTATACTCTGACATGTTCTCAAACCGCATTTGACAATCTCTTTCAAGAATTCATCAGATAAATTGTAAGTCAGAGGTGGCTCAGTTATTTTACAGTCTTGCCACTTAATGAGGTCGGTATAATCTTCAGCATCGAAATTTAAAGGAGGCACTTTGAACGTTCGAAGTCCTTGATCATTCTCTGCTCTAGCTTTCAAAATTTGTTGACATGCTAGTTCTCGAATGATTTCTCTGTCATCTCCAAGCATAGCAATAAGAATATTTTCTGGGTGCCCGAAATATCCATTTCGTATGAGTACCTTATCAATGACTATCTTCAAATCCGCGCTCAAATAGCGAGTCAGGCTAATCGTTTGCCACAGGTGCTTAGCTCCATTTATGCATGATGGATTACACTTTATAGTGAACCACATCGGACCATAAACTTTCATCACGTATGTGGCTAATATCATTAAGTTTTCTAGGGGGTCTGTTTTAGTAGCATATAATCTTAGAATTCGATTTGCTGTTGTAAGCCATCTAGAATGGCTAAGGGGTCCAGGTTCGATATTAGCCAAATCGGAAGTAAAGACGCCAGTGCTGATAGCGTTCATCACATCATAAAGATATTTTTGGTCGGTGCTCAAATCATTTCTAGGAATTTCAGGTAATGTTGAAGGAATGACGGTAAATTCGACAATTGGCATTGTTTCACATTTTTGTAATTCAGAGCCGATAGGACCTGAAAAGCATTTAGGCCCTGTGGTTTTTCCATCCAAATGTAATAACAGATGTCGCAGTGGTAACTCATTTGAATGCAATTGGCAGATAAACCACTGTAATGGTTTCTTAAGTTCTTCTTCCATCAAACGAACAACACCACCTTTGGAACCTGTGTTCACGACAGTTCCATCGCAACCAACAACAGCTATTTTATTCAGATCCACCGATTTCATTTTCAGGTGACGTATAATTGTACTTTGAATACCTTTAGCGGTTCCCAACTCACACGTAACATGCCCGAAATAATCACTTCCTGGCTCCGATAAAATCACATAATGGTCTTCTGTTACTCTTTTTCTGTAAAATTTGCCTTCCTTCTTAATACTTACTAAACTCTTATCCTTTCTGCCATCAAAATAAATACCGCGTATGATTTTATTACGATCTGCGTCTTGTAAAGATGATCTGACTTTAGTTCTTTCACGACGCAACTTAGAACGATCAATGACACCGCTTGGATCCTTCGTTGAAATAATGCCAACATCTTTTAACACAGAAGAAGCTATAATAGCAGCGGCTCTGTCGGAGACTCCAGTACGATCGCAAGCGAGGGCTAATGATGATAAATTTAACTTCTTTTTTTTGGTGGTGGTGGGGTTTTTGGTAGTCTCGCTACGTGTTTTGGCGATTGATAAGGACTAGAAGCTACGCTATTGCTTGAACTGGTGCTTTCGATCGTCAAGTCATCATCATCAGGCAACGAACGAGAACAACACGGTTTGTTGGGATCAAATATCTCTTTGTTACGCAATAAACTTTTTTCTTGTCTTTCTAGTTTTCTCTTATTTTTTACAGTTGTAACCAAATCTACACCACCTATCATCATTTTTCTTGTTGTCCTTTGGTCGAGTAAAAATTTTATTTCTTCCTTGGGAACACGACTGTCTTTTGAACAAGTGCAATCTGAAATAAGTTTGCATTTGCAACTGCAAACATCAAATAATCTATGAGACTCAGTAATGAATGTATTTATCTTCTCTTGATATTTTTTGTTTAATTGACGGCCTCGATAAGGTTTCATTAAGCTTCTATATTTGTCATGGTAGGATCGAATAAGTTGTAATACTCTCTTAAGACTGACTGTTGGCAGCGACGCTTTTCGCCAAATTTCTAAAACTTCCTGAGCCAATCTTTCGGATATGTCATGAATTGTCGGCTCTTTTGTTTTTTTGTCAGGCTTTAATTCATATTTAATGAATAAATAATTTTTCATTACATCATTATAAGTTGGTAATTGAGCTACGGGTAACTTCTCTGGTAAACCAAACACAGGACAGGATGTCTTTTGTCGTGTTTTTACTTGCGACATTTGACTGTAATAAAGAGAAATAATAGGTATGAATTCAATCAATTTTGATCTAAATTGCATTAACTATGAGCAGGAAATTGAAAATACTACTTACATGAGTCTTACTTCTTGATTTAAGTCGTTAAAATCAATGCTTTTCACAAGTGTAATAGTATTAAATCGCGCGCGCGGGTGCACTAAAAGGCATTCGAACGACGTTTGACGAGAGTAGTGTATTCACCTCCCCCCGTGCCCCACAACCCCCGCTCCTCACCGCACACATTTCAAGGTCAAAATTGAATGTCTTGTACCAACAGGGTGACACTCTCAATATGACTTAGCGTTAATTAGATATTCGTGTGTTTTGACAAAATTTCGTGAATTTCTCTAAAGTTCATGATGTTGGGGGCACCTCCAAATATATCATATGTCAACCAAAATTTTGTGAGAATATTTGTAAGCTATAAGAGCAACTTTTTACAGGTATTACAAAACAATTACGAAAAAAAAATTTTTTCGCTCCACCCTAATCTACATGTACTCTCGATTAAGAATCAAAATGCAGATGCTTTGTCATCCGTGAGAACTAAGATGAAATGCCTCGTTTCCAGTAAAAAAGGGTCTCCGGTTCTCTACACTCACCATACGAAACACAGCAGAATTAAGCTGCTATTTTACGCTGGTATTCTGTGGCGTTCTAGTTCTTAATCGAGGATAGGTAGATGCGGCAAGGCCACAGCATCCACTTACCATCTGTCGAACTGTGTGCTCCTTTGTGACCCTTATTCTATTTTAAAAAAAATCGTTCATTCATATGTATTACACAACAGTAAACATCTTAACGCATCCCAACTCGGTTACGTAAAGCGTCAGCTTTGAGCTTATCTGTGTTATTTTTAAGGTGGATTTATGGGGCATTATCTCGTTCTACGCGGGTCTCTGAGCGCAACGTAAACCGGTGATAAAACCCGATTAAAACATCGTAAAAACCTAATGTAAGCAGTTTTAATCGGCCGGATTTATTCTTTGCGAGAAAACAAAGTAAGTTAACTAGAGTTACGCGTTTAGCACACAAATTAATAAGTAATTACTTGTATTAATGTGCGTAATGTCCTTCAGACCGATTTTCGGTCACGGCGGCCTGCCTCAGGTGGCTAGCCATCGGCGCAGGACAGGATTATAGTGCCCAAGTGCATGCGCAAGCACAGGTGCACTCTCTATTCCCTCACTCTCATAATCCGATGGGACGGCAATGCGAGACGACCACGCCCTAGACTTGCTTTACATGATGTCCGAGACACCGGTGTGAAACAACACTAACTTCTTAACTCCAGGCTACTACTGAGAACTTCTTGTCATCACAATCCAATAGCTGATTTTAGTTCGGCACAGGATTCGAACCCGACGTCACACGATCAGCTTCGTGCTTACGAACACGAGACTAACGAGACAGTCACTAGAGTCTCTAGTCTAGAAGATATATAAGTGTAGTACACCTACAAATATCCCACAGTTGGGCACAACCCTCTTCTGCGTACAATTATTGAGCGGGAGAGTCCGTTGGACTGGCCCAATGCTTTTCGACAGATTTTACATGCCTTGAAATATTCACCATGTTTTCTTTCACCACTATGCACGTGTGGTCAATAAGCACTTATAACCGCAATTGACAATTATGTTAGTACCACAGGAAGGATTTAACTTAGTTTGCTCGCGCAACAGACAAAGCTGGGTGCAACAACTAACTTTCACGTAAATCGACATAACGTGCGTTACTCTGTCGACCTTCTGGTTACGGCAACTTGTCACGACCCGTTCTAGAATGTGCGAGAGTAAGGAAGTCCATAAATTACGTACAGTACGCAATAGGGTTGCCCCCCGTATTCTAAAAAAGAATACATTATACTCCACTTGAGGGGCTAATTTTTATTATTACAAAAGGAACTACGACTAGAATGACAAGAATTGTCTAGTCGTTATTTCTTTTGTAATCTTTTCCTTTAATATCCCTTTGAACTATTTGATCAGAGGTCACCGCAGTTAATTCTGAGGACTAAGATGGAATGCCTCATATCTTGTAATTGTTCAATATTCACGACAAAGAAAAAGCGACACAACATAGTATTACATCAAAGAGATTCTACGTTTAAACCAAACCTCCAAAATCTCCTTAAAACAATTGATTCTAAATCATAAGGTATTTCTGTTCAGTTCTTTAACCGACTCACACGATAACCAAAGCACAAAACGGGCCGATAGATATTCTTATACCGCAACCACAAGTTAAGCCTAAAAGACTGAAAATGCACAATATATACGTAGAAAACATTTGTTAATTATTATACTTGGTATCCAGTTAATTGTATTACGTTATATATTCGTCCCTATCAAAAGGTGGCAACCCTATACATAACGTTAAAAACGTGTCAGACGCATGGCGACAACATTCTTTGTTTAAAACACAAACGAAATAAGTGGCCACTTTTTTTGCGGCAGGCGTCTGAGACGCCTGCCTCTAATCGTATATAAAACTACCATCTGGTGACAATTTGTGCTAATTTATGGCATGTATCCTCCGACTGATTGAGAAATAACTACACCAACTATGCAAGAACTTTTAGTCCAGGTGGTATGAAGTCGCGTCGCTAAGCTGGCAGATCACTTTTCTAACAAGTTTTTTCACTGGTAGTAGATTGAAGGCCTTCGCTATGTCTAAACTAACGACCAACAACTTCCCCTTGGACTCTACTGGCTCCGCCCATCTACAAGTTAGGTAATCCAGAAGATCACCAGCTGAGCAACCCCGACGGAAACCCCACTTGCGGTCTGTGTGGTGCGTACCAATCAGCTGGTGATCCTCAAGGTACCTCATAAGCTGGCAGTTAGTAATTATTTCCATTATTTTGATGACAACAAGACGATAGCAATAGGCCTGTGGTTGGATGGATTTGAGCGGTCGTCTTTTTTAGGAGTTGCACTAAAGCTGTCTTCCATGAGTCCGGGACTACGCCTAGGGAGTAGTATAGGAAAAGACGCGTTAAAACCGCTGCTAATTCCGAAATACACATAGTCTCTTACTCGTGACGAAATAACACTTATTCCACCTGACGTTAAATAAACGTTGTACCCGTTTAAGGATCGAAATGAAGATTCGTCAATTCACCACATGAAACACATTGTACAAGTCAATATTAGTTATAAATTATCATAAGATTCCTGTACCGTGTACCGTGTACCATTATCGACACGTGGGTGTTGAAGAGGCGACAGCGGTAAAAAACAGGAGACGAGCAGAAGCGTATTCCTAATAACAACCAAAGATAAAAATCTGCGCCAGCCGAGCGCAACGCGCCTAACAACTATGGCAAAAATGATCCAATGAGGGAAACTATCAGGGAAGGCTTAGGTTCAGCAGCGGACTTGACAGGCTGCCGTAACGGTATTGTAACAATCCAAATGCATTTAAAATCAGTTTAGATATAATACTAATTAAAAGTTAAAGTTACAGCCTATATACGTCCCGCTGCTGGGCACAGGCCGCCCCTCATTTCTGAGAGGTCATTAGGGCAAGGAAGTAGCCGCCGCGCTGTCCAAACGCGTGTTGGCGAACTTCACATGTCTGATTTATTTTTTCTGTTTTCCTTCACCTCCGAGCACGTGGTAAATCAGCACTTTCAATTAACAATTTCATTGATGTCGGCGGGGATCGAACCCGATTTGGTCGCGTACTGTGAAATTTACCGCGGCTCTAATAATTAATGCCAATGCCAAACTACTAATTAACGCCTATTTAGAAATTTTTTTGCTCAAAATTATTATAAAGTAACGTTTAATATAGCTTAATTAAAATGAAGAACTGTCTTTTTTAATTTGATTTTACACACAATACACTATTAAATCACTGTGTGAATATTATTATATTTAAAATAGAAACAATGGTTTAAATTAGCCTCATTAGCAGGACATTGTATCTACATTTACAATAACATAGCTATAAAATGGCATGCGGACTTCGTACACTTTGTGTTCAGAATACGTATATTTTAATAAATTTTTTCGGAATAATAAAGCAAAACAAAAATTGTTTTTGAAATTTAGACTTAACGTGGTAACGCCACGTAAATGTTATATCAGATACACCACGAATCAACGAGAAAATGACCACGCAGAAATGCAGACTGATTTTTTCAAGTAGAAGACTTTAATCATAGTTACATAATGCTGCTGTGTTTTCAGTCACAAGTCCTTAAGGCGGTGGTCTCCTATAAACGCCGTCGGCCGCTTACAGCGTCACGCCGTACGCCACGTTACGGTGCTTACTATAGAAATGTACTGTTGTGGTCTCTTTTACACGCTGACGTCGGCGTATGGACGTCGTAGGCGGCGTAAGACGCTTTGCGCTGCGTCTCTAGTTATTTTGAACCATTGCAGCGTGAACGTCGTGTCTAGCGTCAGTACAAAATGGCCAAATTTAATAAAGGAAAACTTTTTCTTCAACCGATATGGGCTTAGGATGCCTTTTTGATGGCACTTTTATTACATACTCCTGCATAAGTTCTACAATATGTTTAAATTGTTCTTGATTAATACGAAAATATTCAGTAAATTTAGAATCGCTGTCTTTTAAGTGTTTCATTATCAATAGCTGGAAACATCCTTCCTCATTTCTCTTCATAAATAATCAGTGCCTTGTTGCCTTTATTTTTCTTCGTATACGGTCGTCTTGTGCCTCTTCTTCAAGTAACACAAGCGCCGCCAAAAGTGTTGAATTTATATCCATTTTATGAACAAATATCACACACAACCACACTTACTGTTGTTTGATCGAAAGTCTAGACGTCGTCCGTTGCTAATATGTATTGACCGCTGACGCTGTGCCTGGCGTTCAGACGCCGATCGGAACGTTTACGCTGAAGTCGGACGTCGCGTATAGCATTTAATAGGAGACCGTAGCCTAAAGCGAAGAAACAACGCGTCTGTTTTTTGACTCTTAATCATGGATGATTGTAAGAATCTATCCTTTTTTAACTTTTTACTGGTAAAAGGCATAACTCGTATAAATTTTCGATCTCAGAGCGGATAGACAACGCATCTGCATTTTGACTCTTAAATCAAGGATTCTAGGTGACTTTGAGTTACAATATTCACTAACCATCAAAACACTATGTGCCCGTTTGTAACCTTTACTTGTATTAAAAAGTTACAATCCAGTAGTCACATGCAAATTTTTAATAGGAGAGGGGGCAAACGAGTATACGGCTCACCTGATGGTAAATTATTACCGCCGCGACTAACTGCAACACCAGGGGAATTGCAAATGCGTTGCCGGCCTTTTAAAAACGAGTAGGCTCTTTTCTTGAAGGTCCCTAAGTCGCATTGGTCTGGAAAAATCTCTGGTGGTAGTTGATTCCACAAGGAAGTTGTGCGAGGAAGAAAACTTCTTTTAAATCGCCCAGTGGTGGACGGCCCAGTCATCCAGACGGTACGGATGGTATCGCGAGTATATGGTATTTTGGTACACATATATTGAGTATGAAATCAATGTTATTTAATAGTTAATTATTTAATGTGGGTAGTTAATGTTTCTCTTCAATAACTTGGTTAAAACTCCTTCCTCAATTACGCCTCAAATTGCATTCCTATAATGTGACGTCATACAGCGGCCCGACGTACCGTCAGAGCAATCTTTTTGTAGACGCTTCGCAAACGTGCAATAATGCCGAGGGAGAAATTACATTTTACGTCCCGGGACGTGCTGGGAGATAAGGAAATTGTTGCAAACGTCGCGTACACTAGCAGTTCAGGTATGCAGTAAACTTTCTTTATAGAATAGAATATTTTTTATTTGACATAGAGTACAAGTAAGTGTTCTTGAAAGTAATTTTTTTTTAGTTTTACCACAGGTTTGGCGGCAAAAACCTCTGTCCTGGAAAGAACCAGCAAGAAACCCAGCGGGAAAAATAAAATTTAACAATAAAATACCGGTTGTACAAACTACTTAGAAAAGGTATTTACGACAGCTTATAAGCGACTACCTCATTCCGAGGGATTATTGTAAACCATGTTTTCATTTATATTATAATAACGCTTTTCATACAGTTTTTCTTTAATTAAATATTTAAACTTGCTAATAGAGATATAAAGGAGGCGAGAGAGGCGTGTCAGTATCGTGCCAAATGGAAGTCCGTAGTCGCTGCCTACCCCTCCGGGTGACAGGCGTGAGTGTTTATGTATGTATGTATGCCCCATAAATGAATTACTTACTAGTTTATAATGGTTCCTTTTGCCTTGCTTCACGTTTTGTTAACAATTTGTTGTAGTTACAAAGTCTATATAATTCGAGATATAGCGTATTTATGCGTTCAGCGGAAGGGAATGGCAACTTTTTTCATCTTACTGAAGATTACGGCTTAACGAGGTTCCGGTTATCGAGAAGCCCCTGTATTAACACAATGAAAGAGTGGAGGTTAGACTAGTGCTTATCGCGATACAATATTCTACAGTGAATGCTTAACACCTTGACAGTTCCCACGTCTCTTAACATTGTAGAGCGGTTAAGTATAATTATATTGAAAACTATAACCTCTAACTATAACCACAATTTCTTTTTTTTTCTAAGTTAAACGTGAGGCGTCATCACCGCGCAACAACAACTACTCGTACAAAAGCGATCACATAAATCCTAACATTTTCCTTCCTCGACCGAAACTTCTGTACAGTTGTAATAATTGATCCTTTAAGAAATGTTTCTACAGAATCTTAAAAGCTATAGAGAGGTAGTTTATAGAAGAAGATTCGAGATTAATCTCGCTCCAGTTCGGAAATAAGAAACTACGAAAAACGATTAAAGCTTTAGATGGACTTCAGAAACATACACAATAAAGCTAAAGTTCCAAGGTTAATTTTGAAAAGATTACTCAAACCTAAGACGTGGAAGTAATAAAATCTTATACCATTAACACGTAAAATACCAAATCTAGAAATTAAAAACACAATACAGCAGCCTCTAGATCGTAAGATAGCTGTTCTGAACCCTTAAGGTTACCACTCATCGCTCAATAATTAAAAAGAGAAGGCAATTAACACTAGTCATCAAAGACGGCACAAACCGAGCACTCGACACGAATCAACAAACTTGGACAAAGAGAAACTTCATTAACACATCATGTTGAAAGTGTTGCCTTACGATGCATTTCACGGCTGAGTGTCCTTGACAGCCTCGCCGATACATTCTCCTGTCAATATGTCCACTCACACTAAAGATTTTTGAAGATTATTGAATAACACTAGTCTGTTTGGCGAGGGTGGATAAGTAAGTGGTATTTTTATAGAACAAGGGTGACAAACGAGCACTCACAGTCCACCCGGTGGTAAGTGGATACCGTAGCCAATAGACTTCTACATTTATCCTCCAGTAAGAATCAAAATGCAGATGCGTTTTCATCTCAAAACGACTCACAATAGCGACGTATCGCAACCTGTGTGACGGGCGTCGCTTATCGCCGCAAGCACAGAATTTTGTGGTATAAGGCTTGCAGCTGATCTCAAGCGCGGGGCCGGGGGAGTTGACGAATCTATAAGAAAAATGAATTTAGGAGCTCTCATTTTTTTTAAATCGGGAAATTAACTTTCGCCAAACAAACTTTACTTTTACGTATACTAAAGCGTGTATTTTAACTTGCTTTTAACTTCAGCTGTTTTGAGTCTTTTACGGTAACTACTGCGGACTGAGGTGCTTGACGTCCCGATGTCATGGTCCAGCCGTTGTCATAGTTAACAATTAAAAATAAACGCGATAAAATCCGTAAAAGTAGTTTTAAAATTTATTTTCTTGCACAATTATGCCAAAGTTTCTTTTACAAGTTTTCCGAAGTTGATGAAGAAATAAAGTGAACCAAAATTCTTTAAGAATAACTCCTTTCAATGTTTCGAAGTTCAAAACAGCAGCCAAACAAGTGTCAACCAAAGTCAAAGTTAAGTTGATACGTTTTCGATCAACTTTTAAACAAACAATAAAGAAATTTATAAGAAGTCCAACAAACTTTAATTTTTTTTTACAACCATTTCTATATTAAGATTCAAATAGTCAAATTAATTACCTATGTATATATGGCAAGGAAACCCATGGAAACTGCATCGTGATTTAAACAAACATCCATACATACCCAAAGATACTTTCATATCTAGTATATCAGAATACCGTCTCCTCTCCTTGTCGCTCTCCGTCGACGTCTCCCTCTCGCTGGACTCCCTTGTAGGCTTCAACAGCACGGCTTTCTTCCTCCTCAGCTTGCCCACAACTCCGTTTTCGACGGATTTCTCCGCCACTGGCTTCGGTTCCCTCTTGAACCACATCATCCCGACCATTAGTTCAAAGGTTCAGAATAAACGTCATTTGTTAGACCCACGCACTACACTACGGCTTGTCACTGTCACCACTAGAATACAAATTGCAAATAGTTTATAACTGAGCGTTAAAGTTTTAAGTTTTATTTATAGTCCGATGGCACATAGTAGTAAGTCTAATTTGTCCTTATTTTAATACTCCGTGAGATTACAACTCTGTTACTGCCTCCTGTAAAATTAAGATTTTCTATAGGTTGCTGTTGGCATCGACCATTATTGCATTTGACGATACAGTTTATTTTTAGTCGCATATTGTCGCCCTGTGTACACAGTGTAATTATATAAGATACAGAAATAGCAAAATTTACGAATGTGTCTGGAACGCACTGTTATTACCTTATGACTTTTTTCTAAAATGAGGGGTGTAATTTCAAAACACACTCAACTATATTTAGGAAAATTTGTATAAAACGTTTTTATTGAATCTTTTAGTTAATTTAATGCAAAAGTTAATATTTTTTATTTTTTTTATAGAATAGGCGACGAGAACAGTCCACCTGATGGTAAGTGGTTGCTGCGGTCCTGAATCGGGGGCTGGGTTTTGTTGCAGGTATTTCTGTTGGGTGGTCCTTCCCGGGCCCATTTTTGCATGGAAGAGTTACTGTATTTGGTCAAGTGTATTACACATTTAATATGCAATACACCTGACAAAAATATAGGTTAAAAAATCAGTGTCTTTTTTTTACTTCAATTATAGAAATACTGGTACTAGTCAGTAATGAAAAATGAAACGTTTAGTTGTGAAACACGTGTCATATTATCGACGGTGGTGTCCTTCATAACAGTAGTGTTCGGATTAGTGGTGATGGGGATAGTGCAGGAAATTCAAACTGGGTAAGACACATTTTATTTTATTACGAGCGAAATATCTTTGCGACGACGATATATCTTAGCTAATTATTTTTTAACATCTTATAACATATGGATTTCCACAAAGTAACGCCTGATTCTAATTATTATCTTGAAACCTCTTAGACAACTGGTCTCAGGAGTGTTATGTGTATTGTATATACGAATAATAATGGATCGTGATAAAGCTGCTTGCAGACTTTCCCATAAATTACAATCATTTGGCGTATAATTTCCGTCTGTAAGCGAATTGCAAAAGCATTCTGAGCAACGGGAAGCTGAAGTGCACCTGCGCGCCGCCACGGAAACAGACAACGCAATTGACACTATATTTAACGAAATCCTTTTACTGAAACACCTTTTGCACCAGATCAAGGTGTCTCGTTTACAACTATAACCCAGTGCAACCATCCTACCTGGTGGTGCGCGGCGCTGCAGCCGAAAATGGCATAGCGCACTGACTTAGCTTAATTGAAATTAATTGGAAAGAATATGACATATCGCCGTATCTTATGCATCAATAAAATTGTTCATTGCAATTTTAACTGTTGAATAACCCTATGCTCAGGGATGATAGAAAACCAGTAGGCATTTTTTAATTTATAGAATAAGAGTGACAAACGAGCACACAGTCCACCTGATGGTAAGTGGATGCTGTGGCCCATTGACATCTACATTTATCCTCGATTAATAATCAAAACGCAGATGCGTTGTCACCCCTGAGGACTAAGATGGAATGCCTCGTTTCCAGTAAAAAAGTGTCTCCGGATCTCTACACTCACCATACGAAACACAGCAGTATTAAGCTGCTATTTTGCGCTGATATTATGTAAGAATGATACAACCATAATATAGCTGCTGCATGGCTCTACCACGTATACGTTATGTTCGAGATATTGAGAGAAAATGTAGAAGCGGTGAGTTTTAACCGAAGTCCCTTTTTACTTGAAACGAGGCATTCCATCTTAGTACTCACGGGTGATAACGCTTCTGAATTTTAATTTATAATTGAGGATATATATAAATTTCTATGGGCCACAGTAACCAGTTATCATCAGGTGGATTGTGTGCTCGTTTGTCACCCCTATTTTATATAAAAAAAGTTCTTCTCTGTATGTAAATTCATACATAAGATGAAGGAGGGTTAATCCTAGTTTTGTGAGGAAATATAGAATTTATTTTCTACGTAAGGTAAGAGTTTTCACATTATACATACACAAATAATTTAGAAAATATTTTTACGATTTTTAGTTCAGTTGTGTTCCAAAGAAGAGTTCCAAAATTCCATTTTTAATAATGCGGAATCCTAAATATTTTTCTTCTCTGCCGCTCTGCTTATAAAAAGTGAACTAAGCATAATAAACAATAATCCCGAAGACATTGAAAAAATGTCGAATCAGATTTTACTTGTGGACAATATTGTATAGTACCTATGTACGAGCCATTATCAAATATTGTTCATATTATCTATGAGTACCCGGATGACCGAGCTTTGCTCGGTTTGTTTTAAGTACTACGTTTAGATACAAATTACATAATGATGAATAATATTTTTTGATCATGTTGACATAATAGAAAAAAACTGAACTGGTTATTTGAATAAAAAATCATGAGTACAATTAGTTTTATTTAAATTTTCTTTTTTTTTTAAATACTAAAAAAAGAGCTCGAAATAATAGATTTTCTCACAAAAAAAGGGAATTTGAAAAAGAAAAGGAAAAAAATCGAACCGAAGACGGGACGCGAACCAAGGCATTATGATTTCGCCACCGCTCGACATCCACTTGAGCTATTACGATCATTGACACAGTGTCAAAATTTCCTTCTTATATTGTAGCAGTTTTTCATTGCCTGAAAACATGGACAAAAAGACATTTTCTAAAAATGAATCCTAGCTAGATCGATTTATTGCCCCCCGAAACTCCCTGGGCACTAAATTTTATGAAAATCGTTGGAGCCGTTTCCGAGATTCCGATTATATATATATAATTTTTTTATATATATATATATATATATATATATATATACAAGAATTGCTCGTTTAAAGGTATAGGATTCGTCTACGATTGGTGACATTTTTTTGGCAATATTTAACTTCTTTTGCTGCATATATTAATCTATTTTTCTCTCTGATTTTAATAACTGCACTAATTAAATCAAATTATAGAAATGGATACTTTGTATGCCGTAACGTCTTGCGTACATTTTGCTCGTAAGTAAAATAAACTGTTATTTTCTTTAGATTAAAAACAAAATAGCAAATGTTGTCAGGGATCAGGGAAGTAAAATCTCGTTTTAAAACAAAAGAAATCTCCGTCTCTATCAAATCTGATAAAATAACCTGTCACTCACAGTCGCGGTCAAAAACAAATTGAGCAGTCATCTCGCACGGTCGCCGGAGGTCGGAACGTGCGAGCCGCATGTTTTCCGCAAAACAGCCGGTGATCGTGTGACACGGAGATTAATTAATATGTTTTGATCGCATCGAAATTTCGTGTCCTTGCGTTGGACATCGACTTGGTCTAAGAGAGAAACTTCGAGCGCGATTTTAAAAATATTTTTATATAGACTAAAACTAATTTTACGGATTCTATCGCGTTTAATTTAAACTTTTTTATTAATTCTCGACGCTTCGGGCACTTTCTAGCGCCCATGGTCACGGGGGTACTGAGATGTTTGACGTCCCGCTCGCCTCTCATAGTCCGATAGGACGATAAACCATCACGACCAAAGATAGATCAGGCGTGGACCAATGGCTTTACATGCTTTACGAGACACGGAGGTGAGACACTGCCAACTTCATCATTCCGGATAGCTACTAACAGTTTCTTGATGGAAAACTCAACAACAATTTCTTTTGGCACGAACCGAGATTCGTACCCGGAACCTCATGCATCAGTAGTCGCGTTTACGGCCACTAGTCCAACGAGGTATATAGGTATGTATATATGTATTTAAATATGTATGTAACTTTCAATGGCAGGCCCTGTAGCCTAAACGGCTAGATGGATTTTAACATATCGGGTGTTTGTGAAATGCTCCCGGAAACGAAGAAAGAATATAGTACTAACGATACCTTTCATGATGGATTAGGAAGAAAAACGATCCCAATGAAAAAAAAATCTTCTTTTCACAACGATTTAATAGCTTTATTCACGCTCCATCATGTTAAGATAGCTAAATGAAACAATAATTTTAATAAAAAAAACCACACAAATAAAAAAAATAAAACCAGCATTGGAACAAAATCAGCTGACAATAGGGATATTCACGCGGACGCCGAATACGCGCGGCCCGCAGTTCGCAATCTTACCAACACCTAATAATTTACAACACTTGTCTAAATACATAACTTATCTACTTAACCTACAATTTTGCCACTGTGCTAGTCTCCACCTAGTCTACCACGTTTTAATTCGATTTAACAGGTTAAATAAACCAAATACCTGGTATATGGGAGGTCGTTAGATTCGTCTTTGTTGCGGCAGAGATATAAGTTACAAAATTATTTTCGTTTTCATTAAAAAAAAATCCGCAGTGACGTGTTTTTAATTACTGTTTTTTTCCTTTAGGCGTGTAAATTCTTCCAATTTGAATTGGTTAGTTATTTGGTTAATCTTGGTTATAAGCATATTGGTTCACCATCTCTCTGCCAACACACTAAAATACTATTAATAAAATAAAACTAGTTTTTACGGATTTTATCGCGTATATTAAAACTTATTTTGTTTTGTTGGTTGACAGATGTGTAGTGTTCTCGTAAACAAAAGAAATCAATATGTAAACTTTAATTTAACCGACGATAAACAGCTAGTTTATTATATGCTTCATAGATAATATAACTCTATAATTTTATGAAGCAAATATATTCGATCCGAAAAACTCATCGAGATAATTAACAAGGCGTGGTAACTATAAATTAGCAGTGGGTGACCTAATTCACACAGGTAGAAATTCAATGCTTTCTGGCATCGTCCGTGACAAGTTATACGTGATAGATTCTGTTAGCTGTATATATATTTTCTCATTTCCTACTATTATCTCTCTTACACATCGAACTTGAAAGCTGCTATTTAGCTTAATTCTGCTATTTTACGCTAGTATTTACAAGG